ACAAATAAAATGTTCTCTTTATCTATGCGTCAGAAACATGGTCTGAAAGTGTACATAAGGGACCCACATGCTTTCACCCCCATGCTGGAGGAAGGAGTTCAAGGGGCTCCTCCAAGGTCCTTAACCCTGGGCTCTAATCTGATGAAGAACCAAGAAGAAATCGCTAAATTCTCCCAAAAAGATGCAAAGGTAAATAAGTTTGTTAATCTACAGCATTTATAATATACATACTCATCTAATGATTGTGTCTCATTGATGCCAGGTGTATAAAGATTTTATAATATACTTGGAGAAACTGGCAGACTCCATCCACCCTCTCCTTGATGCACCTCCTGTTAACATTCCAGGGCTCACTGCGGGCTCACTATGGAAGCGGCTTGATGCTACCAAAACACTGTTGCCTGTGATCAAATGTGGTAGGTTCATCGTAAAGGTGCATTGTGTAGCATTTCAGATTTTTTTTTTCTGCTTTTTCTATGGAGATGTCATTGCTTTGTCTGGAACATTTTGCAGTATGCGATTAAACCTTTCTATTGTCATGGTAAGCAAATCAGACCAAGTTCCAGGTCTGTGGAGAGTCAACCCTTTTTTTAGTCAGTTTTTCTGTGTATTTTTGAACAATAAAACCACCTATAATTTAATAAATGTAAGGTAGAACTGCTTAATGTCATATTGTGGAACATTCCAGGCAAAACAATGACATATCCATGGAAACAAGCAGGTAACGGACCCAATTCAAATATATATATATATATATATATATATATATAAATATATATATATATATATATATATATATATATATATATATATATATATACATACACACACAGTACTGTCCAGAAGTTTCAGGCAGGTATGAAAAAATGCTGTAAACAAAGAGTGCTTTCAAAAATATAAATAATGATTGTTTGTTTTTATCAATTTACAAAATGCAAAGTGAGCAAACAAAAGAAAAATCTAAATCAGATCAATATCTGGTGTTACTACATCACACAAAGGGGGACACAAGAAGCCAGGGATTTTGTAGGATTATAGTCAGGTTTATGATCAACTAGTTATACCAAACAGCTGTTAATGATCATCAATGTCACATGTAGGTTGGAACACAGTCAGGAACTGAAACAGAAAGAGCTGTGTAGGAGGCTTAAAACTGCGTAAGGAACAGCCAAACTCTGCTACCAAGTTGAGGTTGTGGAAGACAGTCTCATGTCACAGGTCATACACCATGACAAGACTGAGCACAGCAACAAGACACAATGTAGTTATACTGCATCAGCAAGGTCTCTCCCAGAAAAAGATTTCAAAGCAGACTGGGGTTTCACAAAGAAACGGGCATTGCTGAGGATCATAGATGCAGTGGTTGCTCAAGGAAACTTAGTGTCGCAGATGAAAGACACATCACATCTTATTAACCTTCAGAATCCAAAGATGTCCAGCAGTGCCATCAGCTCAGAACGGTCAGAAACCAGTGGAACCCAGGTACAGCCATCTACTGTCCGGCGAAGTCTGGCCAGAACTGGTCTTTATGGAAGAGTTGTAGCTAAATAGCCATACCTCCGACATGGAAATAAGGCCAAACAACTCAAGTATGCACAAAAACATAGGAAATGGGTTGCAGAAAAATGGCAGCAGGTGCTCTGGACTGATGAGTCAAAATTTGAAATATTTGGCTTTAGCAGAAGGCAAGGTTTGGAGAGCGGTCCAATGATGAGTTTCTGCAGGCAACAGTGAAGCATGGTGGAGGTTTCCCTGGATGCTTGTGGCTGCATTTTTTATTTATTTTTTATTATTATAATTTTTTTTTTGATAATATATATTTATTCATTTCATTTCATTAGAGATGTTCAATGTCAATTATCTTCAGCAATGTGATGGTATGGCCCCCACAGAGCCCTGACCTCAATATCATCAAGTGTGTCTTGGATTACATGAAGAGACAGAAGGATGTGAGGAAGCCTACATCCACAGAAGATCTGTGGTTAATTCTTCAAGATGTTTGGAACAACCTACCAGCCGTGTTCCTTCAAAAACTTTATGCATTACATATGCAACAGAAGAATTGATGCTCTTTCGAAGGCAAAGGGTGGCCACACCAAATATTGATTTGATTTAGATTTCTCTTTTGTTCATTCATGGCATTTTGTTGATTGATCACAATAAATTATTAAAACTTTTTAAGGCATTCCTAGTTTACAGCATTTTTTCACACCTGCCTATATCTTTTGCAGAGTACTGTATGTATATGCATGAGTATGATTGTTCTAAAGCTACATATTGATTAAACAGGCTTAAGGCTGGGTCGAAGCATTCCAGATTTTTATAATATTGTCACAGCACCTGCACTCAAGGTTTGTTACTTGCACAAAAATGTATTTAACTGATTAGAAAAAATATTCACTTGATTATTTATTTTTGTAGATACTCAATCAGTGGTTTGAATCTGAACCTCTAAAAGCAACATTAGCCACAGATGCTGTCATTGGAGCTATGACTAGTCCTAGTAATCCTGGTAGTGGGTGAGTAATGCACACAAATACACAGTGACTATAACGATTCTCATATAATCTTCTTAAATTCTTAGGTATGTTCTTTTGCACCATGTCATGGGAGGCTTGGAAGATGAGAAAGGTGCCTGGGGTTATGTTGAAGGAGGAATGGGTGGCGTGTCAAAAGCTATTGCCAATGCAGCTACTTCATATGGCGTGGATATTTTTACTGAAAAGGTGGAAGGGAACTGATCTATAATATTATAATTTTTAAAATATTATTATTAATATTTCTACTATTGACACTGGCAGGAGGTAGAGCAAGTTCTGATTGATCCAAACGGAGGAGCTAAAGGTGTTGTGCTAAAAGATGGCACTGAGATTTATAGTAAAATAGTTTTATCAAATGCTACTCCTTATATTACATACAAGAATCTCACTCCACAGGTAAAAACACTATGAGAAAATGTGCTAAATTTCTATAATGGCAATGACATCTGTTTTGCTTTTTTCCCTCAGAGTGCTCTCCCTCCTGAGTTTATCAGAGCGGTGGATCAGATAGACTACACTTCACCTGTCACTAAGATCAATGGTACACTGTGATGTAAACATTAACCTCTTCATTGCATCATACTACCTAGATACAACTCTACTACTACTTCTTTACTAATACATAAACAACTATGGATACAGAGAAAATTACCACCTGTATCACTTTAGAATGGTCTTGATCTGTTGATACTTTGCAGTGACATCGAGCTTGTGATATTCTACATGTATATTGTATATTTGCAGAAAGTTTAGAAGTTACTGTTACGCATTAGCAAAGCATATTTTCAGGAACCTGTAATCAATACGAACGTCTATGGTCTTGCTTAGGTGCTTCATTTCCCACAAAAAGGTGAGAGTGACTAACTGGAAAACAATTTGACTGGAATTGGATGTCCAACAGACTTGTTTAACAGCACAAATCAGATCACCTGTTGTAGTTCAAGCTTAATCAGCTCTTTATGGTCAGATTTCATTGAATTAAAACTCATATAAAAGTCTAATTTGTGTAACAGAGCTTCAGACAGAGCATGCTTAGTTAGCATCACACCCCCAGCAAATGTTGATGACATCAGCTGTATCAATATTGGAACTAGTATAAAACAGCCATAATCTCGTAATCTCCTAACTGCAGAAGAGATATTGTGGTCTATTATAGTGGCTTTGGACAGGCTACCGAACTTTCTGGCAGCACCCACACCAGATAACAAACCTGGACCCCACCATCAGTGCTCCATTCACCTCAATTGTGAAAGTGTAGAGGTGTTGGAGACAGCCTACAAAGAGGCCATGAACGGGCGACCATCATCAAGGTATGAGATTTAACATGATACTTACACATGCATCAGTCTATTTAGAGCTTATCCTAAACAATAATGTTGGTTTTATCTCTAATTTTACATTTTAACAGACCAATGTTAGAGATGACTATTCCATCTGTACTGGATCATACTCTGGCTCCCCCTGGCTGCCATGTAATATCATTGTTCACGCAGTACACTCCATATTATCTTGAGGGCCGGGAATGGACAAACCAAGAAAAAGAGGCATTTGCAGACACAGGTACAGTAGCAAAAATGAATAATAAGTGGGCAAACATTTAACACAGGTTTAACTTAACTAACATATGTATTTTTGTTTAGCGTTTGATTGGATCGAACAATATGCCCCAGGTTTTAAAAGCTCGGTGGTGGGAAGAGACATCCTCACTCCACCTGATCTAGACAGGATCTTTGGATTGACAGGAGGGGTAATGTATTCAAAGGATGATCCAACTGTGTGTTCATTTGCATGTATCTTATTTGAGTGTGTAATGAATAGGGAAGTGCTTAGTGTGTAGCTCTTCTGTCTTCTGTTAGTCTCACAGAATGAGATACTGCCAGATCAGCTGTAAAAAATAGTTAATCTTTACTGGCCCTTGCCCCACAACCCAGGTGTCAGACTCAAAGTTCACATGAGCAAATTAACACAAACATGTACAGTTTGTCATCTATGTGTTGGCAGCGCCATCATGATTCAGTTACAGATACAGAAAATACTGGTAAATGAAAAGTAAATTAAAGTCTCCTTTGTTACAGAACATTTTTCATGGATCGATGTCACTTGACCAGCTGTACCTAGCACGACCACTACCATATCTGTCAGACTACCGCTCACCTATTAAAGGGCTTTATCTATGTGGCAGTGGTACCCATCCAGGTAAATTATGTTTTATATCTGCTACAGAGTACTTTAGCTATCTAAAACCCAAACTAAATCTGTAGGAGTTAAGCCAGCAAAATTGTGACTTGTTTTTCCTTCACACTAAGTATGACTAATATGCTCTCATGTTGAATGTTATTTTTAGGAGGTGGTGTGATGGGATCTGCAGGTTGGAATGCAGCACTCACCGTCATGGGCGACTTAAAAAATGAATAATTCTTATTCTATGAATAATTAATGTTAACATCTAATTACCATATGCAAATAAGTTGTATCAAATGCACTCTTTAAACATATTACAACATAGTCCATGTAAACACACACGTACTGACTCATCTGCCAAAAATAATAACTTTTGTCTAATTTTTAAACACATTGACTAATATTAATTAAGCATAATGGAAGTAGATAATAGTTGTGTGATGTAAAATTATTAACTTTGCATGCAAGTTTGTTATGTAGGTCAGTTATTAACAAATTAATTATTATGAACAATAGACTACATTAAAAAAAAAATATATATATATATAATAATAATAAATAAAATGCTTTCTATTATTAAGCAGCAGCCTCATTTTTTCCAACGATACCTTTAATGTTTCAAGTCTGACTAACAGCTACCCATATTGTTTGTCAGTATAATTTGACTTAAATCCTAGCTGCAGCATCTTTACCGAGATGCGTAAAAGTGTACTGTGGCTTTAAGGCGCAGCGTAGACTGGACCCTGCGCTGAGGAAGTTCACTTAACAACCGCCACAGATTCCCGCAGATTCGATACTAGATTTTCCCCTAACAATGGCAAATAAAGCGGCGCTGCCATAAAAGCCGTTCTGTACACCTTTGGGAGATATTTGAGACGATAATGCTGGATGGTTGCGCTCATGAAATTCACCAGAGATATATGTTGGCTCTTGGGATTCGGGAGCGGTAAGAGACGAAGCACGATTCATAACTTTACAAACTTTAACCCAAAGTACAACCAACCCCAATGCGTTAGCTTAAGTTTGGGGCCTGTTCTGGGAGTTTCCCCCCCACTATTTACATTATAATTGAGTGGTTTGGAATGGTATTTTTTACATTTCTGTCCAATGGTTCGTATGGGTTCTTGGTCAAACAATGAAAAGTTGCCCCATTGGCAGTTCCACCCTTGCTCTCTCGCCTCACGGCTTTATTTGGTGCGGGCAGCTCGTACCCACAGCAGCTCGCTTATGTTACAGATTACGTTATGAACACAGTCTGTGGTTATGATGAAGTGTACATTTGTCTGTTGAATAATTTGCTGCTCTTTGTTAATATAAGTATCCCTCTGTAATGACATCGGCCTATGCCCAAATACTAGAGATTCTGTCTGAGCAACAAGTTGGCTCCATATTTGCTCTCCACTGCCATGTATAGTTTGTGTATCCTTTATAACTTCTTAACTGCACCGAAGTAGACCTTACGTTGTATTTTCATTACTATCTTTCTATCAAGCTATGGTGACTGGTGGACATTTCTCTATAGCCTATTTCCTGGTTACTTTCACAATCCAAGTTGATAACCCTGCTGTATTTTGCATTCCTGCGGATAGAGCTCACCTTTCAGCCCTGCACCGATTTAGACAGTCTTCTTCAAGAAGGAAAACAGTGACCCCTTTGTTTGGGTTTGGGACCGTGTGTTTGTCTGTAGAGCAGTCTTGTATGGTAAAGATTTGACAAAAACATTTGCTATAGAGACAGTGCTTGGTCTTGCAGGAGAGTGGTGCCTTGACATTTGAGTAGGGAGCAACGCAGACAGCTGAAATTCCTGCTGCGTTTTATGTGTAGTGGCCGGGACACCTAGAAGTTTATTTACAGACGACCGGCGTAGGGGAGATCTAAGAAAAAAACTACTAGTGGTAGTTTACTAAGCGTTTTTGATGATGCATAACACAGCATACCTACCACTGCTACACAAGAGTTTTTAAAATGCTTTAAGCTAAAGCTTGAATATAAACTCGAGTCCTAACATGAGTCACATATCAAGTATGAATTTGTCACTACTCTGGAAATTGTTGCTGAACACTTAATTCCAAATCTTTTTCCAAATCTATGTACTCCCTATCCCATCAAGTAAAAATGTTTAATGTCTTTTACTGTCTGTACTGTTTCTAATATCACAAAAAATAAATAAATAATAATGATAGTAAAAATAAAAATCCAAATCTTTCTGCTGCTATTACCTTGAATCGACCTAAGTTCTTCTTTGATCCAACTGATCATACTTCCATACCTGACATAATGTATGTATTTGGGGCAATAACTACCAAACATTACTTCTTCCCCTTTTTAAATAGCAAAAACGTGTTGTGAGAATAGTGCATAAGGTTGGTTATATGGATCATACAAACAATTTGTTTTTCAAATCAAAATTATTAAAATTTTTTGATTTAATGAAATTCTACACTGCTTTGCTTTTGTATAAAGCAAACAAAACTATGCTGCCGTTAAATCTCCAAAAACTGTTCAGCACACAAGAAGTACATTATGAATTAAGGGGAAGGGGTAAGTTTAAAACAAAATCAGCGAGAAGCACCAGGAAAAGTATGTGTGTATCTGTGTGTGAGGTCAGTTTGTGGAATGGGTTGGGAGAAAACATGAAGCAGTGCCCAAATATTCACAGCTTTAAAAGGAATTGTAAAGAATTTTTGCTTTTGGGGTATAAGGATGAGTGACAGCACTGGGTGATCTAAAAAAAAAAAAAAAGTATATGTGTGTATGTGTATATATATATGTGTACAGTACAAAATGCATACAAAATTATATTTTGTATGCATAATATGTAATTTATTTTGCTATGTAAATATTTGTAAAGTTCCGTGATCAATGTACAGAAACAACCACAAAATTTTTGAAACTATGTCATGAATAGGGGTGGGTTCATATAAGTTTTTCTTCTTCCCACTCCTTTTCGAGAGATGTGCTTTTCTGTTGTTTACAATATGTATGTAGTATATATGATTATTGTTTCTCTCTTGGCACAAACTCGAAATAAAAAACAATCAATCAATCAATCAAACTGGGCTCTCATCTCACAAAGAGGAGTCCTTTGTTTACATGATAATAAAGACTAGATGTTCCTAAGCAACTATGTACTATGAAGGAACTTATGTAAAGTCATCTACACCACAATGGATGCATTTACCTCAGGAGTCAGTTTTTACATGAATTATTGTTAGAAGTCTATCAACACACTGAAAACCAAGTGTTAATCTAGTAGCCACAACTAAAGCACTGAGGTGCACCAAAATGACACATTTATGAAAATATAAGGTAAACAGCTTTGTTGTATCTACACATAGACAGCAGGTATCAGTTACTTGGGGAAATAAGATCATAACTGGACAGCAAGTGTAGCCTGACAACTGTGTATGTAAAGAGACCAGTACATCTGCTCTGTGTTTGTGCTGCAGCTCTACCTTTGTACACATGTATGTGTGTGTATTTCAGTTGATTAAAGGAAATGTATCTAACACACGTTACAGTGATTTTTGTGATGTGTGTGTGTTTTAATAGGTCCCCCTGTCCAGGACGAGCACATGGACTGTGGTCCCACGGCCTCTGACCTGGGCGACAATGTCAATTTGTCACAGGTAAATAAATGGTGTCAGTGTGACAGGGCAGTAGTACTGTAAAGTTCAAAGGTCAACACCACTTTGCTATGTTCAGGATGGAGTCAACGGAGAGGAGGACCTTAGTGAGGAGGAGAAGGTCAGGAGAAGGGCAGAGCGGCGTAGAGCAAAGAGAAAAGTGAGAACATGTTTAATCAAATATTCTACTTGTTTAATACCAACTTGTCAGAATGTCTTTTTGATTTTAGCGTCGTAGAAAAAGAAAGAAGCAAGGGCAAATAAAACAAAATGACCAGGTAAGCTCTACAGAACTTTTTTTTTTAAGTTTAGATTTTTAAAAACATTGGCGACTGTGATTAAGGACGATGAGGAGGAGGAGGAGGAGGAAGAAGCAGGTGGAGAGTCTGAGCTGGATGAGAGTGAATCTGAGGCTGAAGACGTAAAAGATGTGCAGAGGGAAGTGAAACCTGTTGCCTTAAACAAACCAACAACCACTACTGCGGTAACTACATTTCCTGGAATAAAGGCACAACAGAAAAACCAAAGTCAAGCCAAATCTGCAGAAGAGGTACAAGGCATTTCCTACTGCTGTTGTTACTGTTGAAATAATGTATGTGATTTTTATTTTCACATTTTATTCTATATTTCCCAGGAACCGGAATGGGACGTAAGCAGTGCCTTCTTTGCCAATGCTGCTAGCCATATCAGACCCAAAGTTACAAGTCGCAAATCAAGGGACAACAAGGAAAATGAAACTAAGAAAGAGGTGGGCAGAAATCTGATGGATATTATATATGCGAATTAAAATTTTTTGTGTGTTGACGAAGTCTGGCCTTATTGTTACAACCACTGGTTAAATGGTAGCTATAGTTTTTAGGATAATCAAAACCTGCTTTACTTGTTATACAATATCTATAAATACTATCAACTATATTGATTCCTTGCAGACAAATGGACATACTGACACGATGAGTAAGAAAAGTGCCTCATTAACAGGTGAATAGCTAAAATCTTTTGGTTTGTTTATAGTACCACCAATTCTCATACAAAGCCTTATCGTTTTATCAATACATTTTTTCTCTAGAAAAAGGGATTAAACTGGTGCAGGAGGGGCAGTATGCACAAGCTGTCACAATGTTTACAGAAGCTATTAAATGTGATCCAAAGGATTACCGGTAAATCAATCATTAGCTTTAACTCTTGGCTGTATTTGCACAAATATATTATCAATGTTTGCCTTTGTAGGTTCTTTGGGAATCGCTCTTATTGCTACAGCTGCTTAGAGCAGTTCCCCCAGGCCTTGGACGATGCTGAACGCTCCATTCAGCTGGCACCTGATTGGCCAAAGGGGTACTTTCGCAAAGGTATAGCGCTTATGGGCATGAAGGTGAGTGCTGAAAACTTTAAGATGATTATGTGGGTAATATAGGCATGCCCTGTAAGTGAAGTAATAAAATTACTTTTTACAGAGGTACAGTGAAGCTGAAAAAGCAATGGAAAAGGTGCTGAGATTGGACAAAGATTGTGAGGAGGCTGTCACGGACCTCTTTAACTGCAAAGTACTGCAGTTGATGGTAATTCACTTAAAGCTTAGACTGACCTTTAGTTTTGTAGACATACAGTACGGTAAATACTGTATATTTGCTTATTGTTTTCTTTTAGGAGCACGGTTTGGATGAAATGCAAAGTGTCTATCTACTAGAGAAATTTACCACGGTTCAAGCTGTTTTGTCGTCTTGTTCAGATGCTGTGAAAGGTGAGACTTGATTATATGGGTTTGTTGTACCACGGTTCATGAAAAAAATATAGGATTAGACACTTGTAGCTGCTCAGTATTTTTCCAGCAGACTGAAGAAAGATCAATGGGACAGTGACATGAACATGTTTTTAACATGTGATGCAGCCTTGAACAGGACGTCACTCTGTGACCTTAAATTTGATAACACTGTTGTGTTTAGTTTTCACTATTCTGTCACATGTGCTCCAACAGATACTTGGTTTAATTTAATTAAAAATAATGAAACACCAATGACTTGGCTTTTAATATAGTTATCATTTAATTTATATTCCTGCCATAAATTATTTTATAGGCACCACACAAGATCCATTGGCATTACAAACCGGGTATGTAAAAATCTTCTATGGTTGATTCTTTTGTAATAATTGTAATTTAATAAACTATTTTTTTTTCACCAACAGCCCTTGTCCTTCTCTCTGGGTTGGCAACGTGACAACTGAGCTAACAGAAAAACATATTTTGGATCTCTTTAAAACGTAAAAAAATATATATATATATATTACACACACAAACACATTATTATTGTTTAGGCTGGTGATCAGTCTAGCATTTGTTTTTGGGTTTGTTTTTTAGGTGTGGTGAAATTGAAAGTATTCGTGTTCTACATGAAAGATTCTGTGCTTTTGTTAATTTTAAAGACACAAACATGGCAGCCCGAGCCATGGAGAAACTCAATGTGAGTATTGGACAAATTTGACAAATTAAAAATGTAAAATGACTGATGTTGACATGCTTTTTGCTCATATAGGGTTATTGTATTGAGAACACTCGATTAGTAGTGCGCTATCCTGACCGCCGTAGTACTCCAAGAAACCTTTCCATGCCACTTAAGACCTGTCTTTCACTCACACAACAAGCTGGGATGTCTGCTGGGTAAGACAAATACACTAAATATTATACTGATTAAATTGGTGTATTATTGATTGTATTAATAAAATGGCACTGCTTCTTAGAGCGAGACGACGTGGGCCAGTGAATGGAGACGAGTGTTACTTCTGGAGAACCACCGGCTGCCATTTTGGAGATAAATGTCGCTATAAACACATTCCAGATCAGAAAGGCAAGGACAGAAAACCATGGCAACCTTGAACTCAGTTTGAACTCAGTTTGAACTCAGACACAAAACTTAAAACGCTGGTACCATCACACTGCCAGAGTGGACTCAGTTAATTAAAGGATCAATCAATGAATTGGGGAGCTCAAGTGTTGCCTGCACAACTCAAAGGATACTTGTTTTTACTCAAGAAGATTTGCCTTAACCAAATGGAATAATGACTCAAGGTAGGCGGGAAGATCAAATAGTTTTATGTTTGTGACACTTCTGTCCTCTCTAATGTAATTCAATCAAACCTCACATATATTTGTCCTGCTTGGTCCCCTCTTCATACAGTACAGTACTCGTAGAGAGAAAGAATGGGAATGCTTAATAGGTCCATGAATGTTAAGTATCTCACCTTCAAATTATTTTCAAATTATTTCAACATGGGTATAAAATTTGGCTTTTGATATTACAAAAAGGTTTGGGGGAGATCCTTGTTTATTTCCACCTTGTGCCAAAATCCTCAAAAGTATTTGTAAATGTATTTATTGGTTTTTACATTCAGTAACTTTTAAACACCCACAAAACTTTTTGTATTTTGGGTTACAAGTGAATATTTTATTAAATTTTTTTAGTTTTCTCAATTAAGACAAACACTATCACAGATCCCAACAGTTTTGTAGCTTGACTCTGGACTGTGACATGTAAATATAACTAAATTCTCCTGTTGATAAACAAATTGTCCTTACTCAACTACACTTTGCTGATCAGGTTCTGAGAACCAGCCTTGTGCTTTCCTAACCCGCTGTGCACAGTATTGTCTAATCTTATCCACTGTTCAACTTTAAGAAGCAGTGTTGTGACCCAGAGCCTCAGTTTCAGTATTTCACTTCAAATCAAGGCATGTGGCTTCTAATGGCTCTGCACTGATACTCTCTTGTCTGATGCATGTGAACACTAAACAGTGAATTACTCTAATGACATCTGGTTGAAGTCTACACTACGTTCACTAGCAAACTATGCTCTGCATAGAATAAGTATTTATTTTTATTTATACCTTTTTGTTTTTATAACAATGTAACTTGGGGCATCTTCTGCCTAATGTACTGTCTGTTATGTCTAATACACATGTTATTTGTGCACTGTGCCACTGTAGCTCTCAGTCAGCATTACTATTATTTTTGTGGTTGTAAGCATTTGGTACAAATACATTGCATGATGCACTTCTGCATTTCTTAGCTCATTCTGTGGCTAAGACCTCAAAAAGGAATTGATCAGCAAACCTAGAACTATACTTTTGTGCACAACTCCTGACTTGCTTGCTTTTATTTTTTTCGTCATGTCCCTGTTACTAGGATACAATCATAGTAGCTGTTTTATATTTCAAATTTTAAATGTACTATTTTGTAATATTTCAATGTCCCTTCAAAAATTCTTATGTAAACAACTATTACATTGCACACTTTGTCTTCCATTTACTATGTGTTACTCCACTGCAAACAAAGTCTTTTTATATCTAATAAATGTATATATATGGGAAACATTTGTAATTGTCTGTGTGCATTTTTATTGATTTCATCTTTTGTATTTCTGTCAGGGAATGAGGTGAGGTTACTACTGACCACATGATGGCAGTCTTGTACATTAAAGCTCCCGGTCCAATCAATTCAAGACAAGTAGGGTATGTCAAACAGAACACTACACAATTGGGCTAAAGAAAAAGGACACATAAACTGAAGTAGAAGAACATGGACAAAATGTTCAAACAGAGACCAAACCTTCAGGCTGATTAGAGGACCTGGGTACGCGCATTGAGAAATGTAAAAAATGTTTTACACATTTTGGATACCCAGAGAAGACTGATGGTCTCGGCTGAGGTAGGGTGTGTGACTCTAGTGACTATTTATCGAGAGAGTGTGTGTATTAATAATAATAATTACTATAATAATAATTATAATAATTATTATAATTATTATACTTGTAATAATAATTATTGTAAAAACTGGTAATAATATTTTGAGAATATTGTGTCAGTCTAACAGATTTTTTTTACTATACTACTAATACTTTAAAACTATAAATAGACACATGTGAAAGCACTGTTAAACTTTCTATATTTATGTATATATATGGAGTTTTTTCATTTTTAGTTTTTATCAGCCTTTTTGTCTTTGTATAAACTATATATGAAAATATTAAAATTATTCATATCTCAAAACATCAGTCCCAATATTATCAGAATTTTTAAAATGAGCATAACTAACCTGAGGTGGTGCATTCAACAGTTAGCTGTTTGTTGTTAGAGCATATTTCATGGCACCCCAGATTGTGGCAGATCTGTGGTCTCCTCCTCCTCCTCCTCTTAGAGAAGAAGAAGGAGGAGATTTTCAGGCTCACTCTCACTACACCTCACACAGAGCTGTTAAGTGTTGGCACACAGACCATTACACCTGTCTAGTCAAGTCCAATTAGAATGATATAATCAGTTGCAAAACAAAACAATATTTGCAAACTTTTCATACCACTTTTTTCATAAACACTGATTTAGAGGAGTCTTAGCTTTCCTGTTAAGTAAATGGTGAATGACTGTATTTCCCAGAAATCACCCCATAAGTGCACACAAACATTACAACAGCTTCAAAGGTCAAATGAGCACACAAACATGCACCATATCCTTCCTTTTTAACTCAATTTGAACTTATGAGGAAATACTGTGTTTGGATGTTTCTTTTTCCATCACACCGTCCATTTTTATGTCTATGAATAACCTGTGTGCTAAAAAGATACTGAGGTTTAGAAAACTGAAATAAACTATCAACACTTGCTAAATCGGTCTCAACATTTTCCAGTAAAACAAATACAGTGAGTATCTTTCACATGATTCTAATTTGGAGCACGTCCTGAGTAGACCCCACCCCATGAGTTATATGAGCTCTATGTTCTCATCTCTACAGCAGGCTAACTTGTGTCTACATGTTTCCTGTGCCATCAACTTTTACTATAGTAACATACCTCTGGCCTGGGTGGTATGGCCCTTTCTCCTCACGTTTACCATGGCTACAGTGAGGCTGGCTTATTTTAGAGCCAGTGGTTTGTGGCCTTATGAACAAGGAAATATCTACCCTGTGGTATAGGGAGCTTCTTTAAGACATAATGTTTGAGACCATTCTGGATTTTTTTCCTGTTGGCTATATTCACACAGCTTTATGTTAGAGGTGCACTATGTAACTATCACCAGGTTGGTATAGGAGTAAATTTATTTGTCTCCATGGAGATGAGCAGGTGACTCTCAAGATCTGAAGAATACTCCTGACAAGTTGCCCAAGTGGAACTGAAGGATTGGTCAAATGCAGAGAACAAATTTCCCTACAGGGGCAATAAAGCATACCTTAATTTTAACCTTGATACAAAGAGCTCAAGTTACCAGGTAGATCTGTGGAGAGGTGAGTCCACTCACTACAAGAATGCATTTTTCAATTGGTTAAATATATGATAGACGTTAGATGTGTGTTTAATGCCATACTGTGGAACATTCCAGGCCACCTAATAACATCACCATGGAGACAAGCAGGTGCCAGACACTCCAGTAAAAAAGTTAAACAGTGCACATATAAGTATTGATTTTAGGATCATGAAATATGACCCTTTAATATTCAGTCTTTTTTTCATTTTCTTTCACTCACTAGGGCTGTGGGTAAGAGACCTGGACTCTAACAGGAGTAGCAGGGGTTATTGATATTCTTCCCTTCCATACATTTAACAGGACTTGGGGCTGGCACAAAGAGTATCCTTATTTGTATTGAATATTTGACTGTGAGCAAATAATTAAAATATGTTGGCATCTTTTTTTGTACTGGCATCTGTACCAGTGAATACATGAATGTGAAAGAGTTGGTAGGAGAGCCCAGCAGGAGGGAGGGAGGGAGGGATGCTGGGAGGGTTATATGGAGAAGGAGGGAAAAGGGAGGACTGAGAGAGGAGAGCTTTTGGTAACCACAATCCTTCAGTCAGTGACTCTCTCCCAGCTTCAGCCGGTGGCATCAGGAGTGCCCCACAGCGTCTGTCAGGTAAGTTCACTTTTGTATACTTCTAAACAATAATTCTAATGTTGCTTTGGAGTGTAACAGGTGTAACAGGGGATGGATATTAACTGCCCTTTATGGCTTTGTGGTGCGATATACAGATGATATATTTAACTGAGGTCTGAAATGTCCAGAGTGTGACTTATAGAGCCCTCAGTATACAACCGTGCAACCCATTGTGGCCTGTGGAGATTTAGTGTTTCAATATGTCTCCCCAGAAGCTGTAGCATACAACATGTTTCTGTCTGGTTTGGTAGCCTCAAGGAATGTTTATTTTCTTGAATTGCGAAACTAAAGTGAATTTTTGGAAGTTTAATTACATGCCATTGACACAAGCGTCAATTATAACTGTGTTTTTGGCTTCTACAGCATTTTATAAGACTGGTAAAACTGCTTTCTACAATTATGTAGACAATGTCCCTTGGAATTATTTGACATGAGAGGCAAACTAAGTACTTGGATAATACAAATTTGGAAAACCCCAAGAGTTAAGCCAGGTCTGTCTCCAGAGAAGGGTAGTACATTACTTAGTTACATTTTCTTGAGTAACTTTTTAAAGAATTGCATGCTTCTCAGAGTAGCTGGACTGCATACTTTTACTCCTACTTAAGTCTACAAGTCACAAAATGATTTAATCATGTGTATATGATTTAGTTGGTCATTATTGTGGCCTATTAAAGATACCAGATATTGTGCGTTGTTTAATGTTTTTTTTTTTTTTTTCCCTACCAATTACAGTCAAAAATGATCAAATGTTATGCCCTGACAGTTACTCTTAGGCCTTCAATTACTCTTACATGTGCAGTAGTTTTCCTCCAAACTGTTACTTGAGTCATTTTTTGGGCCACTACTATGTTCTTCTCCTTGATTTTCAAGTAATACCCTTAGTCTACTTGAGTACGATTTTTGCTTCTTTGCCTTTTTAAATTTTTATTTTTTTTTTGTCTCTGATCAGATGTCTGTATGTTCTAGGGAGTTAGGTTATTCTTATTTATTTATTGGACTTTTCCTTTTGTATGTTTTTGTATATTTTATTCTGAACACTGCACCATGAGGACAATTTGATACAATTAAACATCACCTCTTTTATGTAATGCACTGACCAGGTGTAACAGAAGCCGTCCTGCAGACAAAATGAATCCTGTCCTGTCCTTGAGCGGCGTGGTCCTCCTGCTCCTGTCCCTGTCCACTTGGGCTCGTGCTGAACCACGCAGGACGACGTCAGCGCAGAGCAGATCCCCCCGCGCGCCTGCAGCCAAAGTGCGACTTGCAGGAAATTTTGCTCGTGATCCGAATGAGGGTCGTGTTGAGGTCCTGCACAACAACACCTGGGGCACCGTGTGTGACGATGAGGTGGACATCAAACTAGCCAATGTGGTGTGCAAAGAGCTGGGCTTCCATAGCGCCATCACGTGGGCACACAGCGCCAAGTACGGAGAGGGAGAGGGTGAGCAACAAGTTCTTCAAAGTCATGTTCAGGACCAGCTAACTTAACCTTTGTGGTTCTCTGCTAAACTTTCCTTACTCCCTAACCATAACCCAAGTGTGATCTTGTTAAAAGCCCACCAATTAAAATTCCTAAAATAAGTTGTTTACCAAGCCTATAAAGTGTCAAAGATATCTTGGCTTTTAATTGTAGCATACATCTCATTAAGGCGGCTTGGCAGCCATAGACTTGTATAGCAACTATATAGGTTTTGTTAGGGAATAATGACAGCATTCGCCCGCCCCTGAGTTGTGCACTTGCTGTGGTTTACAGACGATCTTTACTGCTGCTTTTAAAAACTAAATTAAAGACAGGAGTTAGTGGATTAGACAGGCGGTAGTTACTGCACCCTACTGTGCAAAGTGCTTATCACTCTAAGAAAAACAATCTGCTTTTATATGTCTAAATGTCGTTTGGTTTAGGGACTGCGTCTACACTATGGACTCTTGGTTTCCAAGTAAATGTATTAATTTATAATTTTTTGAAAGGCGTCTATTTTTCTTTAAGGTCCCATATGGATGGACAATGTGCGCTGTGATGGCTCTGAGAAATCCCTCAAGGAATGTAAGCACAATGGTTGGGGAGTGAATGATTGTAAGCATTCAGAAGATTTGGGGGTCGTGTGTGCCCCTGAACGCAGGTTGGACCAAACAGCCAGTAGGGGGCACACTTCTCTGAGGACCAATCTGAACCCTGCGCCTCAGTGGCAGGGCCCAGTTTCCACCAGAAGACACCCTGCGTATGGCTACTATGGAAATGGACATCCATATGAAGTACCAAGGTTCAACAGACCCCATCTTTACCAGGTGTGGTAGAGAAAAAACATTATGATATTTAATATCAAACACAACAAAGTCATTATGTTTTTCTCATCCCAGGGTCATAGTAAGGTCCGCATTGAGGAGGTGCGCCTCCGTCCTATCCTCATGGCCACCAAGCGAAAGAGCTTGATTACAGAAGGCGTGGTTGAAGTAAAGCATGCTGGGAGATGGAGGCAGGTGTGTGATTTGGGCTGGAGTCTAAACAGCAGCAGAGTTGTATGTGGGATGCTTGGCTTTCCAGAGGCTACCCAGCACAACGTCAAAACATACAAGTAAGTACAAGCCGAAGCTCTGCGTCAAGTGAAAATGAGCATAATTGACCTTAATCAACACACCTAGTTCGTGAGCTGACTATGGGTCTGCCTAGTGCTAAAACACGTCATAAGAGTTTATAATCTACAGTCACGCCCCATTAAGAGCTGCTGTGTTTAAATGCATTTTGTCAAGCTTATCTTTTCTCTGCAGCCACCTCTCTCCTGCCCCTTTAGCCCCTGGTCCCTCTCAGCTCCACATGATGATAAAGGGATCAGTGTCCACTCAGCACTAGCCTCTGTATAAAGCCCTCTGAAGGCACCTCACCTCTGCTCACCTCACTACTTCCCTCAGACTCCTGTGCGCTGTGCCTTTATAGATGTTATCTCACTCTTACTGCTTCTCCACTTTAACATCTAAAATACTATGCTGAAAAAGCCACTGTTAATTGTGCTGTTTGGTTCCATAAGTTTTCTCACAGGAACTTAAGTAAAAAGTGTCATATGCAAATCTTTTCAATGAGCTTTCCCTTGGGGCCACTGCAGCAAATATAATATGCCCTGATTTTTTTATTGTTATGTTATATGAATTATTAGAGACTGTTTGAGACTTGGGATGTCACAAGAGTATGCTTACTTATACTATATGACTCTTTGAATTGGATTAGGCCTTTTCAATACTTTCACAACAATTACTTATTTATGTAAATATATGCATTTAACTTTTTCATATTAGGTGTATATAAATAAAACTAAATTATATATATATTAATGATTATCCAAACAAAGTTAAAAATCCTCAGTCCTGGTGTTCTCTGTGCCAGTCCCAAGACTGAATAAAATAAAGGATTGTATCAGAAGCAATCCAGCTAAAAATCTAAATAAATGTGCAAATCACTGCACTGTAAGTCTGGTTTGCAAGAGGAATTCAAAACGTAGCAGCGGGGGAAGAAGTACTCAGTTTTGTTACGTACAAAGTACAAATGTATTTCACGTAGATTTCAAGATCTTCAAAATCTTCAAAAGTACTGATTTTGATAATGATTTGTGCTGAATTTTATTCAATAGAAACAATTGAATAATTTTTTTTTCTAGCTGTGTTTATTTGTATATTTGTATTTGCTCAAATTATGAATGTGCAAAATACTTTTACTTTTCAGTCCAGCTAAAATATATAGTGGAGTAGAAAGTAAAGATACCCCCTCTCAAATGTAGTAAAGTAAAAGTAAAAAGTATCCACTGTAAAATGTACTTCAGTAAAGTACACTAGTAAAAAGGTTTACTTAAGTACAGTACTTTACTACTTTAACACTGAATTTTAGAATATATTTGCATAACAGTTATACACAAGAGTAGTACTAAGCCTAATCCCATTCCTAGAAAACACTGGCGGTATCTTGGGGAAACAGTAATGTAATTGCTGTCTATTTGCCCGACATATGACTTCCACTCCACCTCAAGCTGAAAAAGAAAGAAGTGGTTTTGGGAAGGTTCAGCTCCTCTACCACATTAGGACCACACATTAGCACAGAGTCACTCCAGGCATTACCCAACTACTGTGTGACCATTTGGCATACTCATGAAGCAGACCAGCTCAAGCCTGTGCTGGAGCTGTGCCTGCTTCTAGGTGATTCACAATATAGTTATTCCCGCTCTCAGCTGGCCCTGCTCAATGTGACTCAACTACTGACAAACCACAACACGAGGTCTGTTCTTGGGGTGCGAGATTCCTCTTGGTGGTGCAGGGCTGTAACTGCGGATCGTCTCTATGGCATATTTGTTTTATAGACTTTTCTAACTTTTTATAGACTGTGTACAGAGGCCATATTGAAGTTCTCAATCACTCAAAGCTTTGTCCTTGAATAGAGTTGTCAACGGTGCACTGGGTGTTATTGGGGACACAGCATTGCTTTAACTGGATTCAATTGTACAAGCAGGGCATCACCAGGATCATATTTTAGAGTATAAAAGTACACGCGCTTCTTTCCTGCTCAGAACGTCACCTGAACTGGATCATTTATTACTGCATTACTTTTTGCTGTGCCGGTTTGGTGCTTTTTATGATTCTTCTTTTAATTTTTATCACTGCAGCATCTTAAAGGGGCACTATATAATCTTTGGTGGTGGGTCTCCATGGAGATTTTATAGCTTTGCCAGGAATGTTCCACAGTATCACAAACGTTCCTTTTCATTTACAGGTGTTTTTATTTCTAAAAATATTACTTTAAATGCATTTTTATTGTGATCAGAGTCATCTAATCACAAATTAACTTTTTTTTATTATTCATTAAACCATTACCCTTATTGCTGTACTTTTTTCTCATGCTATTTTTTATATTGAGAATGTAACCAATTTTATTTTTATGAAGACCCCAGGAAGACTAGTGGCCATTATATAGGCAGCAAACAAAAAGATCTGACCTGTAACTTGGCCTAGTGGTATAAACTGCTTGTCCCTACCATACTGTAGAACCTTCTAGAGAAAGAAATGCGGAGACAAGAACGTGGCAAACTCTAGACCAAACAAATTACACCGAGCATCTTTAAAGGGTACATATTACTGCAATTTCTGATAAAAGTTATAATGTTTCCTCATCACAAACATACCTGGAGTTTTTAGTTAAACAGGTTAAACAGGGCAGAACAGGGCATTTTGAGCTTAGGACATGTAGACAGACTGTGAATTAAAACAAAGACAACTCCAGATATGTGTTTGATAGATAATATTCCAACATATAACACATGGTTTAAATGCTCAAGTGTTGAGTAAATTTTGCGTAACATAGGATCTTTAAGACACTCAAACTGCAGAGCTCTGTAGTAGCTGAACGACTACACTGGTGGTTTTGCCTGTCTGGTTGTTTTAAAATTTCCTACAAGGTCAAGAAAAAACAACCCTGTCTTAACCACATCAGAACCCCTAGTTTGTATTGTTTATGAATATGAAATCGAGTGCTATATTTGGAGTGCAGTGTCTGTATCGTGTGTAAATTATATGGCTGAAGTGGTGGTGGCTTGATACATCTGTCCTCTGTGCTCTCGGTGACCTGTTTTGCTGTGGCCTCAGGAGCTATACTGGTCCAGACCATGATGATTTGTTTGCTTCCAAAACTGTACCTGTTTTGTATTTCAAAGGCAGTGTATTTGATGTTTTGCAACCTGGAAACAACAGCATCTCTTCAGAGCATCTAGTCTCATTTAGGTTCATGTAATCTCTGAATGAGTAACTCACCACTACAATTTTCCAACCTAGTTTGCCATGATCTGACACTGGTTTGAAATATAGTTTACTCTTGTGACCCATCCTGTTCCATTCACCCAGACTTGGTACTGGCCCAAAGATAAACTGCCTTGGCTTCATTGTGGAACTCAGAATGGATGGACAAAATGTCAATGTAAGACTGGCTTATATTTAATTTACTAAACATGGCCCGTCACTGAACATACAGTTCCCATGTTCCCACACATGTTGGACTGCTTTGCCTTGTGCCACTCCCCTGTCCCCCCACCTTACCTCTGGGTCCATTCTTAGAAATGTAGCCTACTGTGTCTCGTGGATGAGACTCTGAAGATGCTGTAATTACATGTTGGTCAGGACTGAGGCTCTCCAGGGTTTTGCTGAGAGTGAAAATACTCTCTCAATTACAGCTGTGAGGGAGCAGACTATGCAGCCAGAGGAAGAACGAAACAAGAGTGACCTGCAGACTCAGAACAAGAGTCAGACCAGCCAAAGTCTCAGCGGGCGGCTCATGTGAAATATGTGCAATTACAGTAGCAGTGCAGAGCCGCTGTGTCAGCAGCTGTCTGTTTCCCCCTGTCACTGTAGTCATTTCACAGCCAAAATGGTGTTTTATGTTTAATTAGGCCTGGGCTGAACTTTACTTGGATGATGCTATCATTTACAGGCCTCTGTGTGACCCAGTCTGTGTCTGCGTCTGTCTGTGTGATTTCTCTCAATGACCTTCTCTTTCATTTATTTTCCCTTCTTTTAATTTCTCTGCTCAGGCCTACAACCTCTTTTGTGGCTTGGAAAACTCACTTAAAGTAATTTTAGAGTGTACCAGAGGGGTGTTAAACAAATCCATCAAATTTAAATGTTTGTTTCAAGCTTCTCTCATCATCAGAAACAAATACAGATCATTTTGACATTTTTTCTTTGCTGTGAAATGAATGTCTTGAATGTACAGTCCATTGCTTTAATTCATTTGTGACAATAAGACTAAGCTGTTTGGTATAAGACTGCAGATTTCACAAGTCAGTCAGACATGTCTGCCTCATATGGAAAGTGTGTGGATTACATTGAGCTGCTGCAGAGCCACATGGCAGACACATCTACAACATTTACAAGTCTGATTTAAGATGCCATAAAGCACAACAGCACAACACACTGTGTCAGTCTCAGTTTCAGTCACAGCTGCTCACATGTTCTTATCTATATTATGAATATTACTAAAATATTATTATAAGGACTATTACTCTTAAATATTTTCAACTTGAGTTTAAATGAGCATAAATCCACAAAATTGCAATACCCCTTAAATAGTCTTATTAGTATTATTTGCCTAAAATTACGGTGTATGGGTAAAGTACAGGGTTTTCTTTGCTCCTGACTCCAGGGAACACCCACATTAGTGACAATGTTTCTCTTGTAATTGTTTGTTTTCAAAGCTTACTCAGGGCACAAATATTTGTTCATTTGGACTTCCTTGGAAATGTTTTTAAGAGAAATCCAAAGGCAGCTTTGAAATATGTTTCCAAATTATTTACTAGTATGTATGATGCCAGTACCTCATAACAAATCCACAGCAATACTACTTGTCAATGGTTTCTAGTGCTTGTACTGTTGTGCAGTGACATCAGAGCATGTATTGTATCTTATACAGTGTGGAGTATTGTAGTGAGGGTGTGCTGTGACTCTCCGTAACATGGACTTGGATCATGGGGCAGGTCTCCATTGCTTGTGTCGTGTGAGTGATGCCTCGTGCACGTGTTTGGTGCATACCTCTGTGTTTTTGGTGCGTATCTCTCTCTCATGTGCACTGCAGCAGAGGCCCAGTGTTTTTGTTTGGAGATTATGTTTGGTTAAACCTTGTTTTCCCAGAAACAGGACCAGTAGATCACTGAAGGTGATTTTTTTTTAGACTTACTGTGGCTTTGGGGGTTAACAACGCAATTCAAAAATAGGCACTGTTTTTCCATCTTTTTATAGATTTTACATCCCATCTTTAAAGACAAATTGTTATTATGTTACAGAGCACTGTATAGGAAGACAATGTTTATAACTAATATCCACACATTTACAACTGGGTATTTTAAGGCATATTACTTAACTCCACATTCCTTGGGAATACTTCTCCTTATCTTAGTCAGACAGAAAGCTCTGTGTTTTTTAACTGCTGAGACTTATGATTCACTAGCCATTTAATCAGAGCACAGTAAACACTGTAGACTGCAAACACGCCACATTCCAGATGGTAATATATGCGACTGAAACCTATAAAGCACAAAAAGACATGGAGACACAGCTTGATCAAAGAGGAGAGGAAAGGCACATTTTCCTTGACTATGCCTGCTAGTACTATCAATGGAATTACATCTACCAGAAAACCACATATTTCTTTCATTGGACACATTTGAAAACTACAATTTGTCATTCAATAAAAACTTAGGACTATTTTAAGGCATCTCAAGTTCCAAACATCAACCTAGTAATATCAACAGTATAACTTTGTGGCCCTCGGAATTGTGGTACTGTTGGGCCTGTTACATATGAAACAACATCATTTGCTACAACTGATAGTATGTTACAAGCAGTGCTTTAATATTGGGGGTCACAACGGTCACAGATAAACAAATATTTCTATCGTCTATTCTATCGTGTCTTCTATTGTATTTCTATCGTGTATGAAATATGGTGCAACTAACAACTATGCTTCTGATTCTTTTACAGGAAAATATGGGATACAAAGGTTGCAGATCCCTCAACAAGGTCTGTTTACTTTTTCTGATGTGTATTATGATTATAAAAGAGTATTCCATATGTCTAATACTTTGCCTCTTCCTGTAGACTGAGCTTGATGACAAAGAAGAAGGGTTTCTGGGTAGAGAAAGTGCACTGTTTGGGCACAGAAAACACTTTGTCTGAATGTCATGCTCAGCTCTCCATCCCACGTAATCCCTTCCCATGCAACAAAGGAAGACATGCAGTGGTCAAGTGTGTCCCAGGACCCCAGTTTGCACGGATATCATCTGGAAGACCGCAGGCCCCTTATCCAGTTGTGGTAATGTTACATCAGCAAGTTAGTTCATCAGTTAGTTTGATCATGTTGAATTTGTACAATTCAATTTTGCTTTGCAGCCTGTGCGTCTGAAGGCCGGGCCCAGACTGGGTGAGGGTCGTGTGGAGGTGCTCCGAGATGGAAAATGGGGAACAATTGTGGACCATATGTGGGACAGAACAGCCGCTAGTGTGGTGTGCCGAGAGCTGGGCTTTGGTACTGCTAAAGACGCACTACATGGAGCTTTTATGGGACAAGGTAAGAACACATCTGAATAAGAATGTCATGATATCAACGTTTAGTGTTATGTTATGTGAGGAGAAATATCATGGCTTGTGATTTGACAATTACTGACACCATTGGTTTAAATCCTTAATTTACCATACTAGCTTTTGAAACTGAGAATCTCTCTTGGATACATCTCTACGCTCCGATTTTTGTTCTACTCCCAGTTCTAACTTCTAACATATTTTTAATTATCGTGTCATTCCCCTAAACTACATAACAAATAACAGATACCAAAAAAAAATATATATATTTTATATTTAGATTAACAGTTTTTGGAGAATATGTTGAATATGTTGAGTATTTATTTTATATATTTTTTGCTTCTCAAATTGTCATGACTATTGTTTTTAATGTCTTGCAATTATATTCTGATTTGAACAACCCCAACTGCTCCCTTGGACCCCACCTCACTTTACAAATCGGGTCCAATAAATGAATAAATAAACAATTGACAGATTAATCTTGACATTGGTTTTATATAGCACTTTTCACTGTAAGAGACACTTCACAAAAATGTCTAATCTTAAATACTATTTAGATGTCAAGCTGATTCCTTAACAGATTCTTCAGATTTTCTTATCAAGCCCCTGCATGAGCCCTGGGTTATCTGACCATCTGATTATCTGAT